AACCCTCATCTGGTGCTCTTACCGACCGACTCGCGCACGAAAAGAAGAATATTCGCCACGAGGTCACGTTGCATCCCCTTTTCCATCCGCTGTCGTTACAATGTATGCGCATTTACGTATGTGCGCGTGTCGTCGCGTTCGTAATCACCCCATTTCACGGTTAATCAGCCGAGAGGCCGGAAGACAGGGAAGGTCAGAAAAGGGAGAGGTAAAAAAGAGAGGGAAGATATCTGGGAAAGAAGAGTGGAGGAGAGGATGAGAGGCATAAAACGAAGAGAGGGACGAAGATGCGGAGAAATGGAGAAAAAATTGTTACAGAGAAAAGAGGCCATCGATACAAAAGGAGAAAGCGAGGGAGGACAACGTGAACGATAGATAGAATGACAGAGAAAGAGAAAGAAGAGACAGAAAGAGAGAGAGAAACGGAAAAGGATTCGTGCTAGTTAGAATAGTGTACGTATAACGTGTAGCAGAACATAGCCGAATATCACGGTTAAGTGCTCGATATATACCGCACCTGATCAATTAAGCTGGTAATCACGCCGAAATCACTGGTTAGGCTGCCGGCACTCATCCACCTCTTTCACCACGATTATCTCGTGTATCGTTCGATCGGCCTACGATTCTCCCTTCTGATCAACGCCGCCAACATTTCTCCCACGTTTCGTTTCACACGGTGCGCTCTTTTCTTTTCTTTTTTTTTTTGGTTTACACGATGGAACGGATAAACAGGTGGAGCCTGTCCCGAGAAGGGAACAGTCCGCCGAGAAGGGTGACCAGCACGGTCGAAACGAGCCTTCGACCCTAGCGAGTCTCGCTCCTCGCACGACTGACTGAAGCCTAGAATCGAGGCTTGCAACCAACCCCCAAACCTCTCACCCCTTTCAACCGCTGGGGAGGCCACGCAAGTGGCGCCACGAGCTTGCAAAAGCTCACCTCACCCCTCTACCATCTCTACATCCCACCATCGAACGCTGCTCTTATCTACGGGGTGGCGCGCGCGGTTAAATTCTTGCATCCTTGGGATCTTGATGCTGGCACGGTTTAGATTCGTCGCCCGGTTACCCCGCAGGTTTTAATTTCATTCGAGCGCGCCGTCTCTCTCCGTGCATTCGCGGTATCTTCATTTCAACCGGCAAGAAATATTTTTCCTTTTTTTTTCCTCTTTTTTTTTTTCCTTTTTTTTCTTATTCCATTTTCTATTATCGCAGGTTTATTCGGTCGTTGATTAATTTTTAAAAGAAATCCTTCGGTCTTTTTATTATCAGAGGCAATTCGCGGAAAGGAAATATATTGTAATTTCTCTTAATTCCGTTCGTGTTGTTGATGATTATTAACTGTGTTCGTAATTAGATCGATAATTCTTATCTGATACAATATTCATCCTTCGCGTCTCGTTGATAAGATGTCAAATTGATTTCGAGGAGATGCTCTATAAATGTTGTTTAACGGACGCTTGACACGAGTATCGGCTGATGATTGTTCGAGAATTGTATCACAATTAACGGGTTCAAGTGATAGCTCGTATTCACGCTACTCGATGTCTATTGCACGTTACACGTTCTCAATTTCCTTCTCGTTTTGTACGAGCGAATTCGTCCCGTGGAACAAAGATATCGAGTGTTTGCTCGAAATATAAAGGGATAAAGGGAATTTTCACCAAGTTTACACTTGCGTTTATTATTTGACGGTGGAACAAAGCTCAGTCGGTAATCAAATTGCGCGTATCTCATGCACGGTTTTCTTGAACCCTTACTTTTTCTTCACCGTTTTCATTCAACCACCACACTTTCGACGTGTTCCTTTCTCTCGCCTCTTTCTTCCAGGAGCAACCACCTGTAACCCCCTGGAGACAGACGTACGTTTCAAAGTGCAACCCCTCTCTTTCCATCTTTCCCCGGCAACCCCTCTAGACTTAGCCTTGACGGCCTTTTTCTCTCTCTTCATCGACTTGATCGCCAATCGTAACAACCGATCCATCAAAAGACAAGCAGTTATGTTCTCTTTCTTACTCGTGTACACCTTTCTCTTTCTACTCATAACACTTCTATCGATATTTCTTTGACAAATTTTAACAAATTATAGTAGCTTGCAATCTTATGTCGATTTAAATTTAATATTGTATTTTATTGTTTAATTTTAATTTTATAAACTTATAAAATTTATAAACTTTATATTCTTTTAGTTTTTTATTTTCTTTTATTTATTTAATGCAGCACTATAGTTTGATAATAAATATTATATTATGCAATTCACATTACATATAGTATCTATTATAATTTATTAATTTATTACTAATTTATAATGCTATAATATATGCATGTGCTAATATTATAGAAATTAAAAATTCTAGGAATTATTCTTTTTTTTTTTGTAATTTCAAATGTTTCTCTTATACGACACCACAGTTTCAACTTCTTTCGATTGATATGTCCATTATTCATTTTTATAAAATTAAAAAAAATATGTCGAAAAATGTTGATGTTTGGTGAACAAAAACGATATTCTTCAATCTGATTTCCATTCGTTTTACGATACACGGTTAAATCGAGAGAGAAATATCCGATAAAAGTCGCAAAAAATGCTTCATTCAACATGCATATCGAAATTGAAGAATTCTGATCCCGATGCAACGTCGTATTAATTTTAACGAGTCATATAGATTTAGCTCAAAGCGTTCAATAATAAAAACCGTATAACAGAAAGTAACTTCGTTTAAATATTGTGTTAACAGAATAAACGTAACGAATGTTGATGTTTTTAATTAAAAAATACAGTAATAGAAATGCAGAAATGGAATGGACTGGAAACTTCTTCAAGGAAAAATTGGATAAATAATATATAAAATAATATTCTATATAAAAATAAAAAATTACCTTTTCATAAAGATCAAAGGAGAATAATTTTTTTATTGATTTTTCCTTTTTTTAAATATAATAGTTAAAAAGAAATTTGATATATAAAAAATTAGAAGAATAAACTTAACAAGTTTCAAGATATAATAGTTTAATTACGTTAAGAGAAATAAAATATAATAAAATATTGAAAAATATCTAAAACTAGAAAATGTTTCATCAAGATTTTTGTAAAATGTTGCAAAATTTTAATTTTTTGACACATAAAATTTATATTGAGCATATTATACAAGATGTTTCTAGTATATTTATCATACTGTTTATATATCTGGAAATCGATTGCTCAAACAATGTGAAATGATCTTATTTGAATGAAAATATTCGAAAAAAAAAATTCGGTCATCTTTTGTTCTTAATAAGTTGATTTCAAGATATAATAAATAAATGAAAATTTCTCGAAAACTGATTTTTTTTATCCATTGTTATGCCTTATATTTTTTGCTTTTTTTTCTTCTATATATATCTTCATTTTATTTTATTATTTAAAACAAACAAATTGATTCAATATTAAAACAAGAAAATACTGCATTTAATATCAATAAAGTAAGAACAATATATTTAATACATTATAAGTATATTTTTATAATTATCAAATCAATGTTTCGTATTTTAAAAATAAAGAAAAAGTTAATAAAATAGTATGAGAAAATATATTAATATACTTTCGTAATAATAATTTTATATTGAAATAGTTTTATTATAATTTTCTACATATTTAGTTGTTAAAAAAGTAGAATTCTTGATTCGATAAAATAACTTATATGATACAACTTTTTTTCGATCAACATACAATAAATAAAAAATATAATTCAAAATTTTTTGAATGTATTTAAGTATACAATTAAAAATTATAATATTTAAATATTTTATATTAATAAAATATTAGAAATCTATTTGCGCCGCTATCGATATCGATGCGTGCGACTTTGCTCGCTGTAGGACGTCGAGTGGGGGAACGCCACGATTCATAACAGTACCGTCCGTACCGTAGATATGTCGTGCTTCTGTTTCTCCTATATAATTTAAAATTGTGCGTAAATAATTTTTATTAAAATTTAATAATTTTTATTAAAAACTTATTTTATTTATTATTTATAGTAAATACATATGTTTGTGAATATTTAAAATATATTTTGACACGAATTAAAATATATTTAGTCGTAATTGTTTATATTCGTTTTTTATTATTCATTTTTTATTCGCAAATGTTTAGAATGTGTGAGAATGTTATGTTTATTTGTGAATATTTATAATATGTATTTTTATTTGAGAGATTTCGTATGTTTTTACGATGTGAATAATTTCGCGGATCGTTAAAATAATTTTTAATCGCGAGGAAAAAAAGGAAAGCAGTCAATTATTAAGTGTTATCTACAAATGGTAAGTCGCATATTTTTTATATTGATAAATAGTTATTGGATTTTTTATATGTATAGTAATATACGTATATACGTGTATATTAATAATTTAACAATTTAATATTGATCATAAATTTTTATTAATCTTTCGTATTAATAGTTAATACACAATTAGAAAATCAAATTATATAAACATAAAAAGAATTATAAATTTACTTTTAGTTGATAATTCATGTTATATTTATGTAAAAAATGAAAATTATAAAATAACAAAAATTATTCCATAGAAACAAAACAGCGGAAACTTGATTTATACGAAATAAAACAATAAAGATTTTTATCATGTTTAATTAATACTTCATGAACGTCAAAAATTAAAATATAATAATAATAATAATAATAATAGTAATAATAATCGTGTCATTAATTAAAAGTAATTATGAAAAATCTTATTTTATTTGCAAATTAGCACAAAGCATATGCAATTTAGTAAGTAATATTTTATTTTGTGCCATTTTTTCAACTAAATTTTTAATAAGTTTTCTGTAGATTTCCTTGTCATTCAAATTAATATAATTATTAAAATTATCATTTGTTTGTGTTGCGTTTGATATAGTTAAAATTGTTTCTGTCTGTGTACTGACAGATTTTTTTTGGCAAAAACTTTTTTGAAATTTTATTGATTGGTATATTGTTGTACTTTGATTGTACATTGAAACTCTTTTAGAATAGTTATTCTTTATTTTATCTTTTTTTCGTGATTTTAAGTTATAACTCTGATTATTGCCATTCCATGTATTACATGTATGATTTGCTTGTATTATTATTCCACATTTTGAACAACGTTCGCAGATATCGCAAAACTCATCTTCTTTCAATGATTTAATATATTTTTTAGAGTATGACATCTTTGATACTAAAATAAGAGGAAGAATTAGTTAATCTTAAACTTAAAAAGATTTTAATATTTTAACGTTTAATATTTAAAATAGTCATTCGTAAAACTTATTATTTTTTTGATATATTTATTTTCCAAAATATTGATTTAAAAATAAAAAGATATTACGCATTTTATTTTTCATTAATATTTTATCTCTTAATAATAATTTAAATATATTATCCATAACGATTGAAAATTTTATTAATAGTAAAAATTAAGAATATTATTTTTTTTATTATTTTTTCGTTAATACATTTATTATTATTAAAATTTCATTTTTTCTTTAAAACGAGAAATATATATTTTTTTTGTCAGTAATCAAAAATTTAATCGAACCAATTCATAGTCAAAAATCAATAGATATCGATAGTAAATATCTATCAGCGGAATAAATTAAAATTTTATTTATAAAAGAAAAATATCTTGAACAATTTAATATTTAAAAGAAATTAATGGACATTTTAGATTTAATTTTTTATTCTTAAACAAATTTTTTAGACTTTGTTATTTTACAAATAAAATTTTTGCAAGATATTCGAAACTTTATATATTTCTGCAGTCAATCAAAATGAAATAAAGTTATATATTAGTTATGCAGTAACTTTAGTAATTATAGCTTATAGTTATAAAAAAAAAAGTCAACCAAGATTAATTGTTATTTAAATCTTATATTAATAAATATTATATAAATCGTCAAGTAAGATGCCGATGAACTTTTTTTTTTTATTTTCATTGACAAAGCTAATAATTATAATCTTTTATTAATAACATTAATATAACTTATAATCATGTGTTTCATTGAAACCATGTGCTTTATTGAAGCCACGTGCTTACATTTGGTTAGAATTGTATCGATTTCGTTTTATTGAAATTTTAATAGAAATTAATAATAGAAATTAAATGAAAATATTTGCAATGTATATATAAAATAAAAAGTGTTTAAATTTACCTTTAATATCCTATGATTTGATCTTTATTATAAAATAACAGCATCAAAATGCAATAACTACTTTGCATGTATGATGCTTATTGTACTCATTATCCTTAAGAAGTGAAGTACAAACAATTTCATTCATTGCGTTGAACACCATCTATTGAGAAACAGATACATAAGATTACATTTCTAATTCTCAACAGATAACTCAGAATCCTTTTATTGTATGATTTTTGATTTACAAATTTTTTCCTTTAATTTCAAATTTAATATTTAGTTTAGGTTTGACGAATAGATTTAATTTTTAGATAAAATAAACAATTTATAACATTTTTCATTATTATATTAGTTATTTTAAATTGCTGTTATATTAATTGGATTTGTCATTTTATATAATAAGTAGTTGACTTAATATTTTTATTAATTTGTAGTATTTTTCATTATTAATAAAATGTTAAGTGATTATATCATGCTATTATATCAACAAAAAATGCATTATCCTATTTATAGATTGATAAATTATACGTCTTGTTAAACATGATATACAATATTATGACATAATATCATGACGTGAATTAATATTTACGATTAATTGTAAAGTTAAATCTTATTACATTATCATTCTCACTAAATTCCCATTTGATTTCATATTACATATATTACAAATTTGTATTATTTTTACAATAAAATTATAATATATATTCCATTCTAAATTAGTATCGATAAATATCGATTATATTTATCACAAAATTATAAATATTATTGAATCAAGTATAAAGTATATAAATCAGGCGTTACGCAGATTACAATCCATATTAAATATTTAATTATTTTATCATACTTCAAAACATCTTTAAATTATTTTCTCAAGATTGAGATGATCTTAATAAAATCTCAATGTCAGTACCAAAGTTTCATATATAATAATGAAATGATCAATAGCAGATGTATCTGTTTTCAATTTATTCGTGGATTTTTGTCATCTATTTTTTTCATATATATAAATATTAAAATTTCATTCGAAACTCAAGGTTATTTCATTAGCATTTCCATGAAATTTTACTCATCTTGATTACAAAATTTCACTTGTTTGAAACGTTTCATTTAATTAGCATTTTTATGAAATTTGCATAGCGTTCTTCTAGATTCTTCTTTCATCATCACTGCTATTATTTTATTGTACCTTTCTTATCTAGAGCTATTATACTTGTCTGATGAAATAAATCTAAATTTTATTTTACTTTTTCAGTCAAATAATCTCCAGTATAGTGGCATACACAGGCTACAGAAGAAAACGAATGAAAAAATAAAATTCTGTTGTGGGAATCTTTGTGTACCAACAATGAAAAAAGGTGAGTGTAAAAAGAAGAATATAATTTTGCGAATTCTTTTAAAGATAGCTACTTCTTGGACATATTTTTATTAAAAATCATTTGGATAATTTTTACAAAATTAATAATTATTTTTTTTATCACAATTTCAATTCAATTATTATTTTCGTTATCCATTTTTGTATTCAATTAAAATTTTTTAATTGAATCGATTATTATACAGATTCAATTCCTAAAAAGATTATTCATTAATTTCAAAATATTAAACATAATAATTAATGTTATACGGGCAATCTGGACCAATAAGGAAGAAGAAGAAATTTTATTGTTAAATTTCCGAAACGAATTTTTATTCTTATTGAAAAAAGTTTTAAACAAATTTTTCACTTAATGATTATCTAAATATAAAATTAGAGATTTTTATAATTATTTTAAAACTTTTTTATTTTTTCAAAGCTCAGAATAATAAAAAGTTAAATGCGCGAATAAAAAATTCAATTATCGTGAAAAACTATAAAAATATTATTATTATTTTTCATTCTTAACATAGAATACCGAAAAAATTATCTTATACTTAATTATCTTTCGATTTTACACAATTATTTCACTTTAAAGCGTAATTTATGCTATCATCATTCATCCTAAATTTCGTCATAGTCCAGATTATCCGTACGCTTTGTTCCACGTTGATTGACCTAACGTGATAAGCAGTAACGGATAAGCTCTCAATGATAAAGGTTGAATGTCGAGCAAACGTGGGGATCACAATGTCTGATCTCCCTTTTTTGACCTACAGAATCATCCAAAGAAAGACATCACCCTTTTTCTTCACTTCTGTCTTTCTCTCTCAAGGGATTCTTCACGTTTTTCCGCACGCAAACCCCACTCGCTTTCCTTCGACCGACCTATCGCGAGCCACCACCATCGAAAGGTGTTCAGTTCTCAGCGCGCCGTGACGCGAGCAACCACCGTATCTCACCGTTTCCCTTTTCGAGCATTCTGTCCTCTCTGGTCGATACGATCAATGAAATTTGTCGCGAATCCGTGAAATCGATCTACGGATGATCGGTGTACTGATTTACTATTTAGAAACAAATAGAGAGGATTTTTATCGACGATAAAAGATACAAGTGAAAGATCGATCAATCGTAAAAAACGTGATTATTGTTTTGATTTTGTGTTTTTTTTTTTCGCTTTACGTTACGTTATGGATTCAAGAACAATTAGGATCGAAATGTGGAATCGTAAAATAGAGTGTTAGAATAGAATGAAGATTTATTTTTCGATAAGATCGAGGATTTAATTTTGGTAAGAGGTTTTCGATACGTGCCCCTGTACGTTGACAAACGGATTCAACCTTGACGCGTTCCTCTGCGAATTGATTCTCCATTGAGACACAGCTGTAAGTACATTTTTCATATTATTTAAATTATTATTTTTTTAATATACACGTGTGTCAAACTAATTGTAAATTATTATTTAATTTTCCAAATTATAAATTAATTCCAAATTAGAAAGAATTGGTTATTTTTACTTAAGATCAATTTCTTGCTAATAATTTTATAATTTGATTTTTACAATTTCTTTTCAAGATTTTGTTAAACTTCAAATTTCGTTCCCTAATATTTCGAATTTCTCAGAAAATTTTTCAAATTCAAGGATCTTATCTTTAAAATTTTCCCTTGCATAATTGCACACGAAACGTGAATAGTAACATAAACATTCGAAAGTGCTTTGCATATTTTAAAATTCTTACATTGATTGCTTATTTCGCTCAATTGTGCGCTGTATCAGAGGAAATATCATTGCGCAATATAAAAATCTGGTCCTCGAAACTGACTATATTCCGATAACAAATCGTGGTTTGAGGAAAACTTTCACGCGAATCAATACTGCTTATCGAGTCCGCTGTGTAAACGATCCTAATCGTGAGTCACTTTGTGAAGGGAAAATTTCGATATACAGAAACGGTTTTAATGTTCATCTTGTTCGTATTTATTAACTTTACTCTCGTATCTTTCGTGCACGATTGCGGCTATTATTTCATTTATCTACTAAGCTTCTAAATACATAAGCTTCTAAATATTTATTGCGTATTTTATTTTTATGTTTTTATATTTTGTGGTACAGGTGATTGAATATTTCGAAATTGCAATATAGTAATGAAATATAATTTAGATTTTAGATAACTTTATAAAATTCTAAGAGACTTTTACGCATCATTGGAACGTAATGAGATTAGTGACAAGCTTTTTGAAGTCCTTATTGAATTTCATATAATTCGATACGAATGGCATGTTCAATGCCTACATAATATAGATAGCTTTATTTTTTTCGACGAAGTATTTTCTTTTATCATTTCTATATTTTATTTTATTAGTACAAAATTCTTATAATTATTTATTCATGATATAATGTATTTTGGTCTAATTAATTGTATAAATGGTATAATAAATACAATGCGAATACTTAAGCATTGTAATGTTGAAATATCATATACAAATACAAATTATTTTATGCAATTATTAAAACAGTAGTTTAAACAATTGAGATATTTTGTTTATTTTCAATTTTTTATATATTTATTTATTTTTTGAAATATTAATTGTTATGATAATATTGGAAATTAATATTTTTTTCGAGGAAATATAAAATAATTATATTGTACCCTATAATAGGAAATATTAATAAATTTGATTAAATTTTGTTCATTTTCGTTTAACTTTGATATCAGAATTTCTTTAAATTAAAAATTAAAATTTAATTTTTATCGATTCAAAACAAATTATATATTTAATGATATTCATTTCATCAAATACATTTCATAATATTCTATTCTATTCACAAGTAAAAAGAACAAATAAAAATAAAAATCGTAATTTCGATTATTTATGTAGTCTTTTTATTTATTCATTTATTTTTTAATAATCTTTTCTAATAATTTATAATATATATTTGATTTTGACGTAATATTAATAGCAAAAAAAATTGTATTTTCTATTTTATTATCTTGAATTCTCAGGAGATAGAGAAAAAAATGAATGAGTATAATGGAATGTCGGAACAAATGTATATGTAGTAATTTGCATTTCGCATTTCGACTTTAATTCCTAATGTTTCTTCTTTATTATTCTGTATAAAATGAATATAAAACATTTGAATTATTGTTTTTTTCTTTTTTTTTTTATATATATATTTTCATTTTATGCAAAAATTCAGTGATTACAAATTTTTATATTGTTATTATGTGAACTTGTTACGTCTTTCGATTCGTTTTCAATTTAATTGTGATTTTTTATCGCATATCAAACTTTTGAAATTTGAATATGTAATATGAAAAAATCATAATTAACATGTTAAAAATTACAAATTCTTTTATATTTGTTAAAAGAAGATAGAAACTTCGGAAGAAACATGTTGTTTTTTGATTATGAAAAATTGTAGCTTGAAAATTTTAAAAATTCTACGGATATTATACACATAGATTTCTAACGAAACGTTGAACAAACCTGTTGCATGGAAAATTTAATCTGATTAGTTTAAAGAATGCTTTTATGTCATCTCTTTACAGTTCGATACTTTATTCCATTAACGTGTTAAAATCGAGTTATTCATTACACTACTGTATGTATGCATAATTTTATTAACATAATAAATTAATATATAAAACTGCTTTAATAAAAACTGCTTAAATAAACAAAAAGAAAATAAAATTCAGAAGAATTTTACGGTTCGTGTATTATGATTATTAAATTTTTCTATTTATACAAGCTTTGATATCAGATAAAATTATTTCTTTTTTTCTTTTTCGGAGTTATTTTGAAATTATTTTAAATAGAAAAAATAATCTTTGTTTAATAGACTTCCTTTCTCATTATCATCGTTTCAAATATTGAATTAAAGTATGATCTTCTTTCAAGGTTTTTTTTTTTATTTTTTTATGCATTTCTGAAAGTAGAAATCTCAAAGATTAAAGCTACTGCTACAAATATTTATTTTTATTCTTCATTGATCAATATCAGAAATACAAAAGATCTTATTAATAAGAGAATAATTTTTCACTTCGTTTTAAAAATATTTTTTATATGCTTGTTATTTCACTTTAAATGGTTGAATAATTAGAAAAGAAACAAAAATTTCTCATTTTTTTCTCGAGAATATTTCATTTGATTATATAAAGTGACAAAATTACAATTTCTCGCAATATAATTCGCAAGATATTCCCCTCTCGACAATGATTTGTCACCGGTTCTAATCTTTTGTCACAGCCATTCTGATATAAGAACGAAATATTAGGGTATAAACGGTTCAAAGGAATGTGATTAAACGTTTCGAGTGACGTGAAGGAGAATTATATTATATTTATTGCCGAATGTTTATGTAAATTCGTATTTTTATTAATTAAATTAATTAAATAAATAGAAGCAAAAAAATAGAGACTTATTTTAATTGCTAAGTAATGTAACAATATTTTATTTTGAATATTTTATACATTATCATATATTATCAATTGCAATTTCTTTACACGCCAATTCTGACAGTGTTTTCCAAGTTTTTTCGTCACCAATGAATGAACAATGTGTTTGTTTAATTGACGTGTGTCACGTGCAGTTGATATCGACGAAAACTGCACAGTATATACTGCACATAGGCGACATAAAAAAACAAAAAAGTAGAAATAAAGTTGTTTTGTCGTCACGATGTAGGAATTTCACAAAATGATCGAAATCATAGAATAGGGCATAGAAAAGAAATAATACAAAATTAATTTGATCGATTCAATTAACTTGACTCAATGATTTAATTAAAAACACGTTCAATCGATGAAAAGAAAATATTCTTCTGCGTTATTCATTTTTTATATCCATTTTGTTTCAAAAATTGATGATCGTGTTGATAATTAAATGAAAGAAAATGTATTATTATTATTATGAATATAATTAAAAAAATTATTAAATTCTTTCAAAAAAAATTATAATTTTTCTGCATATACATGATATATTTTTTTGATATATATATATATATATATATTTTTATAAGTAGATCAGTTCTTATTACTATATTAATCTATATTTTTGCACAAATAAATATTAAATATTCATTCAGAATTCTATCGTATTTCAATATATATTACATTTTATTTGGACATAAAGTTCTTTGATTGAAATCTTCAGCTTCAACTTCTTTGAGTAGATTCTGATTATAACATGCATTCGTGGTATTTGGTATTAGCATTGCTAGCTTGATGCAACGTATTTACGTATATATACTCGAATGAATATGTAGGCGTTTGCAAATTTTGTGTAATTATAGAAGTTCTGATATCACGCTCGTATTGATGTTTGCATTGGTGCATGTATTTTCTATGCAAATAAACAGTTTGATTAATAAATAATAAAAATCTAGAAATTATTCTTAATGTTTGAAAAATATTTTGGATAATTAAATCAGAAAATAGAAGATATTTAAAAATTATATATTCCTCGTGTTAATTTTTAGAAAAGTAAAATGATACTTATGTTAATCTGTTTAATTAGTTACGTTTCTCACATTGATTTTCAGAAAAGAGTATCTTTTTATTTAATTTTTAAAAGAATTATTTACATTTACAAAAGTAAAGGAAAAATTAAACATCACAAGAGATATCTAGTTCAATCATTAACGCTTTAATGCATTAATAATTGTTTGCTTTTAGATGCTATGAAAGCGAAGACAATTGATAATAAACAAAATTGTTAATTACTTGGTGGTAAACGAATCACAATGAGAATTTATTGGAAGTTCTTTTTTATCGATACAATTACATTGTTTCGATTTATATTTTTTTTACACGAATTCTCTTTCTGTTTCCATTTTTCATTTAAACGAATTATTGAAATTGCGACGGAATTTAACAGATTAATAATTGCAAAAATTCAAATTAATCGTGTTTTAAACATAGAAGAGGATAGATATTACATGCTCATAAATATAAAGGAAGGGGAAATTGATGTAAAAGAAGTTTAATTTCTTTTCAAGCTCTTAAGTCAAGCATTTACGATAGTTATAATTTATAATAGAACGTTTTACTTTATTTACTTTGGTATACTTATTGTACAGACATATAGAACATCTAATTTAACTTACGTTTTTAATCGTAACTCGAATCAGCTCGGCAATTACACGAGGCAAACTCGTAAAACATTAAAGACGCGGAAGAGAGATGGGACAAGTTCTGAAACATAATTTCATGTTCGTAATTACGAGTTCTTATGCATCGTGCATATCTTGTATGTCATTATTCTCATTATGAACCGAGATGAATGTGTTTAAATCTTTGACGATCGATATCTTCGATTCAAAATAGTATTCTGGAAATGAATTTTATCGAACGATAGAAATTCATCGTCAATTCCAGTCTTC